ACTCAGTTGCGCTGGTCACTGCTGTCTTCCTGGATGGGGACTTTGAGGCGGGCCACATCAATGGCTAGAGACCTTGTCAGACACGGCCCAGTCGCGCCCTCAATGGCGCTCGTGCATCAAAGCTATTGCCTTCAATTCATAGCTCCTTTTCCAACCCCTATCACTTGACAGCCCACTGACAGTGCTGAATTTATGCACCAATTTACCAGCTCGCGCGTGCAATGCGCAGCTACCTACCCCCCCCCAATCATCGGTGAACGAAACTGCGACATCTACAACCACTGTACGACGATTACGCGGCTATTACAGCTGACAATGATGATGATGAATATAACGAGATCGGTAACGACACATGCTAAATACTGGCCGAACACTACTTGGTTAGTTCAGTTCAACTATGAATCTCGCTACAACGACCGCTCGCAGGGCCGGTTGGTCCTGAGGTTTGAGCCATATAAAAGATTTCATATCTGAGGGCTAACATTCATTGTTTAAGTTTTGGAGAGACGAGGACGAATTCATCGGAGCCGCTGGTATCAGGATGTTAGGTGCAGGAGTTCGTCGGAGCCGACTGGAGGATGTCACTGTTTAGAGTTGGTTATTGCACTGGTGTCCACGAGCCACATGTTTCGCTACTATTTTACTTCATTATTCTCAAGTAATTCCTGGTTTCCAGCTGGTGCCCAGTGTGAGCAGACCTCAGCCTACTTTTATGACATTGCGCCGTTTAAGACTCATGGCCAGTTAGTATGCACCGTATATATCCTTACCATACTTCAGTTTTATTTTGAGGCTAGGAGTTTCGGTGCGCTGCAACACTGAACAGTAGCAACTGAGGCATTTGTAGTAGCAGTTGGGTTCTTACATCCTTATGGGAATTCATTTCATTTCATTCCATAAACCTATCCTGGTTTCTCAACTTACTGTGTGTATGCGCTGCACCGTACACGCAGAATATCACTCGAAGCTTCTTGTGTCACCCTCAGCTAACCATTTTCTGTTATATAGGGATAATCACCGGTGGGGCTGTGGGATTTGCTCGTTTCAGATGAATGCCAGGAATTCGTTGTAACCGAGGCATTGTTAGTGAATAAAATCCCATTTACGTTCCTTCTTATAATTTAAGATAGAAACGTTGCATGCACTGACGTGGGAATGTCCGCCTTACGAAAAAGTGAGAAGCCGTTCAGTGATCGACATCCTAGAAATTTGGCTGGACAGACTAGTAGTGTCGCTGTAAAGTGTTGGTCCTTGTATTGATGTCTCTTTTAATCAAGGGGACAACAATTAAATTAACTATTCCAAAACTAATATCATGACAAATTCTATCTAGCCGTGTTTGGCCAAAGTACGTGAACTCATTCCGTAAGGTCCGTCCGAGAAACATGGCGGGACCAGAAGTATCCATAAGGAATTTGCCGTTATATGGAGGAGCTTTTGCTGTGCGCACATCCATTTTCGCCTCTACATTCTATTTAAGCGGACCGGTCAAAACTACCTATCGATATCTAGACAACGGCCAGTTTTTGGTAGCACACTGTCAGCTGCGTAGTCCTGTCATTGGAAAAGGTGGAGTTAATGCACTATCAGAAATGTGAGCTTGGGTGCGAGCGTTCATGTACTAGTAACACGGACAGGCACCTGATTTCAGTCGTCGTAGTGGCCAATCCGGGCCAAGCTTCATCGGAATCGCAGCACAAGTAGCCAGCTGAGACGAAGTGGTAACGAAAAGACAGCTGGCCATAGACCACATGAAAGGACGTTTTTCAAAGGTACCGAATACTTCGGGGAAGGTTTCGGGCGTTACTGAAGTATGACTTATATGAATAGTTAGAGCATCAATAGCACGAACACATCAGGAATGACCGAATTACGAAACCAGCAGATGGGACTGGCGAGTAGTTGCATGATCTTCAGGAGGTGTGATGAGTTTTACTTGATGACGGCTCACTTAGTTTAGAGGCAATTTCATTTTGTGACTTATGCATCGTTCATATGTACGCCTGAAGAAGTAACTCTGTTGCCGGTTGCATCAAAGCTACAGAGGTTCCTTAATGATCCCCGCTGACCTATTGGGAGGCTCATTCCTAGTATGAACTAAAGGACTGGATGCTTTTGAATAAAGTCTTTATGGGCAGGAAACCCAATAGCATCAGTGTTTAAGTGCTAACTAAGGGATCACGTTCCAAATGTCCGTTCTCGCACCTAGTGAGCCTCAACAAAGCTGAAGTATCCGAGACTCTTCGTGAGGATCGATCAGTAATTGGAATAAGCCTGAATATCTAGGTTTTTTCCACAAGTCAAACTCAACCCGTCCTGAAACGCCAGGATGTCCTTTGCAGCTACTCCATTTTTACTGGGAACCATCAATAGTATGCATCTCACGAATCTCAAGGGAGTTCGAACGAGTGGTCAAGCCCTCACAACTAGGCTAGCAAGCCGTATCCAATAGTTTAGGTGAGGCTGAACCGTTAGTCTTCTTCACCAACTTAGGGTATTCCCGAAGTACTGTGAACGTCCTTGTTTGTTCTCTCTTCCGTCACTAGGGTATCTGCCCACAGTCGTGTAAACAGCATGACTCCAAGTAACCTCGGCATCGTGTTCGCCCCGTCTGTCATGAGGTCACCGGAAGAGACAGTGGCTGCAATCATGAACACAAAATTCGCTTCCTCTGTTGTTGAACTAATGATTGAACATCATGCCACCTTATTCCCGTCGACTGATGGTGACCTGTTGGATACCCTTCCTATGCCTGTCAAGGATCCCGTTCCAATCGAGCCAGTCTATTCTACTCCTGTACTGGACTCGAAAACGCCTAGCCCACGAGGTATGCTTGTCCTTCGGATATTTTCTTCCACATTTCTGTTCATCTTTGTCAACTTCAGTTTTTTTTTCCGAACGACAGTGACTGAGCTCTCGTTGTTCAGTCATTTACCACATGACTTGCTCGTGAATGTCGATTACCTACATATGACTATGCTTGTGTTTATTATCGATGACGCCAACACGCATGTTTCGAAGTTCATTAAGACGTCTCATTTCAGCCTCTTAGTTATAATGCTTCGTTTTATTCCATAAAACAGTAGCTTGGGCAGTTGTTGATATCCAATACCTGGTATAAGCAATGGATACCTTTTGAACGATTTGAGCTATATTTATTTCGAGCGCGCCCATGACCTTTTGCGTCCTTTCCTTCTCCCCTCGTTAGCAACAAGGAAGACGTGACGTTCTTTTCTTGTGCTTTCATTGGTTCCGGAACCCGTTTCCAGAAACACTACAACGTTTATCCCCATGGGGCTTTATTTGGTGCTGAGTGATTCTCTTCTAGTACTCTTGAGCTTTCAGTTCCTTCCTCACTGTGACACAGCCTCCTGTCTGTGTTATTTCTTTAATTAAAATGTCCTAATGTGTTTCATATGAGCCACCAATGTTCTGATTGGCTTGGCTCCAAAAAGTAACGCTTTTTGCGGTGCTGTCGTTGAGATGGCCATCCCTCCCACAAGGCTAAGTTATTCAGTTGAACATCGTAGATCCTCACGGCCGTCAGGCGATACAGAAATCTACCTATTGAATAAAGTACTCCATTCACAATTGACTTTAAAATGGGGTTACGGTACGACTGGACTAACGGTCACAAATGTCTAGATGATGAATTGTTCAAGGGAACACTCTGAGATGAACTGGTCTTACAGTACAACCAGTCTTTCGGCGTGATGGATTACCTGGGTGTGTCAGTGATATTTGGGAGTGAAGGAACCAGTTGGCTTATTATTGCATTGACTGGGACCTGGGTGAAACGAAGTGTAAAAGTGGATCGAAGGTAGTACGTCAGCTTCACGAGCCGATTCACTGTACTGGAAAGAATAACTCTCATCCGAGAGTACTATTTGGTTATGTTTGCACATACATTAAGTGATGCACATCCAACTAGGTGGTTAGAAAAAATGGTGAGCCGACAGTGCAGTTTATCCAGGCTTTCAATGCAATAAGACGACAGTCACGTCACAGATGGAGTAAACCGATACCATCGTTTGTAGAGAGGTCACCCCATTCGAAGAGTAGTGACACGATGGGAAGGGTTGAAAGTCAGAGTTGAGAGTGGGATGAACGATGTCACCAAGAGATATTGTGCTACGGTCCCGCAATCCAGCTGAGTGGATGGTGAATACCGAACTCAGAGGAACAAATACGAACTACATTCTAGCATCCCGGTAAGCAACAGGACCGAGATACCAGTCTGACAACCGATCTCAGGGCGATTGCTACATGTGACACACGCTTCACACCATCCTACAACACACTGGCTAATGCCACTAAGTGACCGCTGATCGGTCTGAATCAATTAACTGTGTGTACGTACATCCGGAGCGTGATTGCGCGAGCTGATCAAATATGACAGAAACGTGCCAAATGCTTTTTGTTAGGTCACGGTGTTATGTCCTCCCATGGAAAGTCCACTCATACTTCAATCAGTGTTTCTATCGCCCGGCCGCAATAAACAGCTGGTTCGTTAAAATTCGATAATATATCGATTGAAAACACGTGGCAGATGCGTTCTTATGAGCGGTTTGAATCGTCACTGCAATGTTTTGGACACGTGATCTCTTTGCAGCACGGTGACTTACCGCTTTTGTGTGGTGTGTGTGTGTGTGTGTTAATCCATCCCACATAGCGGGGCCTGCGAACAAAGGTCCACGTTAGTTGCATATTTGTCTTCTGAAATTGATATATTTGCTCCAGGCGTTTCACCCACCATACGTACACTGAGGGGCTGATAGTGTTGTCTTCATCCGTGATGAACTTTTGACAACCAACTTGCCAAGCTTAGCGAACATTTCACTCATCGACTAGACAACCCCAGCTGTCAACACTCTACCTAGTATCCATTCACACAGAAACGATGTGTAAGTCGAGATATGAACACTGTTCGCTAGTCGGGAGTGGAGTACAAAGCTTCCTCTTATTGGATGCTGCCCTTACTTTATGTCCGGTGCTTACTCTAACATACAGGTGATAGACTGGTGCAAATAGCCCCAAGGGTTTAGTCCCTCTCTCTCTCTCCACCTATAATCTAATCTAACAGAGCATGCTTTGAGTTGCTTGCAACATTCTCCCAAGTCAGCTCGACTAACAAACATTGAAGCAAGTCTTATTCCTAACAAATCTTTCCAGTGGGTAAACTTCTCATCTGGATTACCGATTATTTGTTTCAAGAAGTGCCTTAATAGTAATTTTTGGTTATCAAGAATAGTTTCCTGTTTAAGCCAACTTTCTTCTGTATTCGCTTTACCTGATTAGCTTCCGGTTACTTTCTAACAAATTTTCAGAGGCAAGGCTTTCCGACTTGGGTTTGTACCGGTCTGCGAAAACAGACAAGTGAGTTCCACAACTTATGTAGCCATCTGTTCTGTTCATTGAGGTTGTTCGGATATTAATATCTTACGCACGAGGTATGCCTTGAATTCAGAGATGGCAGGCACTGAACTGGTAGCGCCGGGATTTACACCTCGCACGTCTGACATCCCAAGCGAACATGTTATCGCCACTCCACAAACACACTCCGAACGCACTTGAACTACTACGTCTGAACATGTGAACATGTTCCCTCTTGAGCGATACTATTGGCTCATAATACTCGTTCCTCGAGGACATCGGGTGAAAAACCAACGAAAAGACAGTTTTCGTAGCCTTGATATGAAACCTCCGCCAAAGGGATACATCAGATATGTAAATAGTTTCCCATTGACTCTGATCTTTTCCCTTTCTCTCGTATAAGCAACCTTCGTCGAGAAAACACAGTGAAAAACAAATTTCACATTCCGAATTTTCCGATTTGGTGAGACCCCTTGCACAGTCCACTAGCAATCGGTTAGGAACTACGTCGACCTCACCGAGGTACAATCAAATGGGAACAAAACAACGGCCATATGAGCGAATGGCAGTCGAGTATCTGACCGTTGCACAATTTCGCTCGGCATCTGAAGTCAAATACAGTAAATTCTATTTAGCCCAAACGGGTTGAGACAGGATAAGTGTTTTCAGTCTGGGGTTGCATACACCAGTTATTTGACATGTGCTACGAAGGCTCATCCACGAAACTGTCTGTCTCGTATAAAAAAGATTGTCGTTCAAAAAGGAACATGTATTCGCAGACATCAGACAAAGATTGCCAGCTACCCTGAATCGTATGTATCCCACCACACAGCTACAGATGACTAATTTCACACTATCTCTTGTATTCCAAGTCGCTAACCACACGGGTTCGGTATTTTCGCTTCCAATCTCATCCATCACTCCACATTCAGCTTCGGTGACACAAGCACAACAGATCGATTTTTTCCTTAAAGACTGATGAGGCACATTCCAAAGGATCTGATACTCACGGCTAGACATCAATCATTAAACCGTCATTCACCGACAATGCGACGTAATCAGTAGGAAATGCTTTAATTACAGGTCACTCAGTTGGTCTCATTCGTTCATTGAAAATTCCCGTAGACGAAGATGCTCTAGGACAGTAGCATCCAGCATGGTGATACTGTGTTGTATCGTGGGTGGCCGTCTATTGGTCACGCCTGCACTGAGCCCGCCAGACTAAGCGACAAGGGGAAGACAGTGAACTAGGGACACGGCTGTGTTGTCAGGACAAAAAGTACGCAGCTTATGTGTAAATGGCCAAATATGGTCGTTCACTTGTTCGTTCTCTACAGCAAATGGCGGTGTTCCGGTGTGCAGTCCCACTGCACTGATCTTATGTTGCTAAGCCGTGTTTGGTGAGCTCCGCCAACGCACCTGCTTTCCGAACATGTCGTACAGATGGTGACCTTGGGGAATGCGTCAATCTCTGCGCGTGTACTCTTTCCATGTCTGGACGCGTCCTGACGTACCGATTAACATGGGACCACAGATTTAGTAAGCAAGGCATTTGCCTGTCATCGCATTGTTCTCGAACCACCCACCCTGCTTTTCCATGTATGTTTACCTATCTTCTCCATAGATGTCTGTGCCTTTTTGTAGCATATTATGGTTATGGCAGCCATAATATAATTCAGAAGGTATGTGCACTAATAGTTGTTTTTTCTATGGTGGTGAGTTGCAACACGTATAAAAATAAGTGCAATGCGAAATGTGGAGCAAATCAAAAGAGGAACTCATCGCTTGTAAGAGTTTCTTGGTGAAAGCACGAACGGCGGCCACGTGTTTTCTCTGCACTATAGCTGCTACACGTTTGCCGTAATTGTCCGTGGACTTGTGGGAGTGGTTGACCTCCTGCTCCCTGCGCGCGCGTGCGAGTCTGTGTGTTGATTGTGCTCGGTTTTCCTACATGTAGGAGTACATGCTTGTGACAGCACATGACTTGTTACCACGCTTATTAGACGGTACAGACAGTCAGTGCCAGAGAGCCACCTCTGTGTGACGTGGTTTGTGAGTGTAGAAAAAATGATCCAGTGAGCGACTGTGAGCTGAATGTTCAAGCATGTGGGTCAAGGGATAGCTACAAGCACGGTCTGGCATCAGCTGATTAATGTGCCAGTTCGGCGACCTCAATTCAGAAGTCGAACCTTGTCACTGAGTCTTAATAAATGGTCCAAATGTTCGAACTAGTCTGTGCATAGAGAAAGCGAGTGGGTTGAGAAAAATATGCTTGCATTCTGCCGAACGGTGACGAAACTAACAGGCCTCCGGATAGCGGGAGTCGGCTGAGGTGAGGAGGTGTACTGAAACTCGTTACACAGATATTATGACGAATAGCATTTTTCTTGTCATGAGCTCGTCATTACTTTTTTGTGGCGAGTGCTCATTTGAAATCTTCTAGTGCTCAGAAGCTCGTCTGGGGTTTGACCAACGGTTGTCGAGATCACCATGGTAGCTTTCTGTTAACGGAGCCGATGATATCACTCATATTTCTCTCAGGTTCAGTTCCACCGATCCTTCTTGTTAGTTGAAAAAATATTAGAATTCAGGTGCTTAATGTGCTCTCAAGGGCCCATGGAAAGTCTTCTATAACCACTTGTAATCCAAGCTATAAAATCATCTTGATTTGCTCAGATATACCGATTGGATGACCTGGTTCCAGAGACCTCTATTTCGTTCCTTCAGGTAAGCATAGCATGGGTGTCTTATCTGGAACGCGCAAACTTCATGATCATCGCTATAACCCATGCTGCTCATCGCTTTATCGGTTGTTTCTTTGTCACATGGGAACAAAAGAGAGTGTGCGACATTCGAGCGTGATGACATCATCGTTATTTTTATTGTTGTGGAGTGCTAACAAACTGCTGCGTTAGTAAATCTCTCCATTGAGCTTGGATTTGTACATATTTCAGTTAATCTTTAATGCCTATTTCCCCAACCTATAGCGCAACAAGCATTCTAGCAACAGTTCAACATCAGCCCGTTGTTGGTGATCCCACTCCGAACCCAAATAAAGCTGCTGGTGACCTGCTAGGTCCCAGTGAGGATCTCCCTCCCCGACCGCCTGTTCCTCCCCGGCTTGGGTAAGTTCTTCAGACAAGACACTTCATTTCGGTGTTTGCGCTTTTATTGGAATGGAGGTCATGCAGTTTTGTGCTTTGGGAGAAGCCTCAAGGCAACCTAGACTTTTCGTTCGAACGACTGACGGGAAATGCCGGCCTATTGAACCAAGCCCGGATATATGGATTTTTGCCTCGATCTGGATTAACTGGTAGGATCAGAGTAAATGCGTTTTTCTGTGGTCATCTGCTACCTCGTTGCCTGCTTGGCATCATAAAAGAACGCACCAGGGACGAACTTGTTATGTTGTTACCGGTGAAAGACTCGATGACAATGACCGATCTGGATGGTTACATGGGCATCAAGAGTTTTGTTGTGTACTACGGCTGTCTCTCGATGAGGAGACTATCTCGAGAAACTGACTAAAGCTCAGCTCCCCTTCCATTGAAATACCTCTCAAGGGGTCAGCTACCGGTGGTCAGATTAGTCAACTCTGGCGATACTGTTAGATACTGTTACTCTTGGCGGTGATAATGATGCTGACTGGAAGTAGTCTCTCCGGGTTGAGGCAACTCAGCCTCATCCTAATCTGGGATCTTAGTTCATCGATTGATTAGACAAAACTTCACGAACCATTAGTGACGAAATGACAAAGGTGAGTTAAGAGCCCTAGCAAAAAGTCAAAAAGTTAGTTCCAGGTCAGACATCCGCTGGAACTCGAGATTTTCCTTAGCTAATCATTCGAGTTTTCGATAGAGATTTCGTCGTGCCAGTCTGCGCTGAAAAGTCGAGAAGCAACATCTGTTTCATATTTGTTGAGAATCATCAACAGTGCCCGACTCAAATGCTCGAACCCGCGATATTCCGACCAGTGTTTGAACACAACTGTTTGGCCATCAGCGGATGATAAGCAGTGTGACTAGCTCTCACTTGGACAGGACATGGCGCCAGTCATCCTTCAGTAACCACATCATCTGGTTACGTAATAGTGAGCCAGAAGGTTGCAGGCTTGAAGCTTTGTGCGTTTCGTAAGGTGCTTTTTGCTGACGATTTCCAACAAGGATGTAACGGCTGTACAATGTTTCTCGCCTTCTCGGCATACAGCCGCTTCACTGACAGGATGAAATCTAAATTGCGACAACACACAGTGCAGTGGATGGAAACATGGTAACGGTTCACCAATTTATGCTCATTTTAGGTGCGCTCTGCCCGCTGTTTAACCAGAAGCGGCGGAACTTGTTAGCGAACAGATGTAATCACCCGCATCGGTCGTTTTCCAGGGTGTGTTGCTCACACTTTGGTCGGAGGTTGAAAACCAGATAAATATCAGTTACTTTTTGCGGAATACGAATGCTCGCGCAACCTAGTTGTCTTACTGGATGGTCAACTAATCTGTGCACTTGACTAACAAGGGAACATCCTGTAGCTGGACAGAAATTGTCACGAATTTTACTGTTTCCACTTCATCTTGAGACCGGCTGGAAGGAACCTGGGAATAGTCAAGTTGGGTAATTCCAAAAACAGCCATTAGAGGTCTGCAGAACTGGGGGCTCCGTTTTTCTGGTTTATTTCAAGTATCAAATCAGCCTTGTACGCTACTATTTTTGGTCCCTGTAAATTTTACCTACATTATCCAGTCCCCACAGATCTTTTCAGCGTCAAGATAGCTTCCCGCTTCCTCCCAGTCTAACTTCTCCTCGTCGACGCCAGTCGGAACAGAATAAGCGAGTTCTTCCATTGCGTCCTTCGGAGCTATCCCATCCACAAGTAGCAAATGACGGTGTGGACCGCCCTAATATGGGACAGCTTATATCCAGTGATAATAACTCTCGCGAGGAACCTGACAAGATGGGAGATTTACCACCAAGGGTTCCTGGCAAAATTCAGCGGGCACATGGCCAATCTGCTGTTGGTTTTCCCAACGTACTCAGTCTAGCCTCCGCCTTCAATCATCAACCGTCTATTCCTCCCCAGCCACCCATTCGTAAGAGGTTAGTTTGTGGTGCCTTTAAACTCATTTTCCTTGAATTGTCTCGTCATTTTTCCCTCCAGTTCCCATATGAGATCCGAAACAATCATGCTGGGAGTTTTTTTACCATAAGCATTGAGTGTTAATTGAACTGGTGTTAGCGCGTCACCCTTTGTGGTTTCTTGCTTTCCAGATTAGCGCACTCTGTGACCCAAAGCAACACCAAACTTGTACATTCGAATTGCAAGCAAGAGGCAGTGAATCAATTCAGAACTTTGAGGTCGTTTTTCGGCTCTGTTACCCTTTTGTATTCTATGCCAAAGCTGTTCTCTGTGGTCAGTCAAGTAGCTATTTCTCACATGCCCTCTATGACTGCCACACTACGGTATGTAGTTTTCGGGAGTGTCAGTTGACCAACCAAAACATCAATTAAAAGGATCGACCGTGCAACTACCCTCAGTTTAGTTGATTGGCACGGAATGTTGGTTGAATATTTTCTATACCCCTATTCAAATTCTCCTCTGGCCTATTCCCCTCAGATTAACGTAATGTGCTTATTTGAACAGATCCGGGATCTAGCGGTGTGTTGTGATGAATGGACCCTCAAGGCGATGTAGAACGCCTTTGAAAGAGGTTATTTACCGTGCAGCACGCTCGTGCCACGCCTGTGCTGGCGCTGAGGTTCATTTCAGGGTGTCATTCCGTGAATGAAGATTTGTAAATAGTACAGCGATAGGTTTTGCCACTGCCATCGGTTTAATGGCGTTCAGTATAACGGCACTGCATTTGAATTAATACTGATGGCTGTAGCTACACTTATTACACATTTTAAAGGCCTTCTCTCCCGTTTAATTGACTGGTCTTCACCTGTTTACTCGTGATGACTCATACGACACTCCATAGAATCTTGTAAACTGAAAACGCAATACTCCTCTGTTAATTACATGGCCATGTCGATGTTGGAAGCGGCTTGAGGTCAACCCAAGATTGAACATTTGTCTTGCCCCCACCAGATTGATGGCTGTTTTCGCCTGGTCCGACGACGGAGGATTGTGTGATCATTCAGAAATAGTGAATGCAATTACACCAACAATTGTGACAGATCGGCGGTGCTAGAGCGACGGGTTAGGGGGATAAACCCACCTTCGGGTTTTCATTATGTGCAGCCCAAAGTGTTTGTCCGTTCCCCGTACCTTACTTAAAACAACGAGAGTGCGTAATGTCAGGGTTGTTTTCAGAGCAGTATTTGTAAAATACGACTGACCCCGGGGACGTTGAAGTAATTTGACGGGTTAGATTAATCAAAACGACTAAGAATGTAATCAATATATTAGGTTTTGTGAACAAAACACTAATCGGGTGTCGCGTGAAACCGGATACTGGAAGTGAATTCATCCACACTGCTTCCTCACAATAGCGAATCAAAATCTAAAGTCCGGTTAGAAACACTTGTGTAGATGGCGAATGGATTAACCCAATCCATGATGGATATAGGGCGTGAACGAATATAAAATGGTTTTATGGAAGGCTGAATGCATTTCTTCATCAAACCGCTATTCCATGTATTCTTTTGGGCGTGACCTTGGGCTTTGGCTGTCTTCTTGGCGCATGTATCGATTGTTACTTGTTCAGACCATTCAGCCTTACTCTTTGGTATTATGTTGCTTCTATTCCCCGAAAGTCTGAGACTTAAGGTTTATTGTTTTTTTCGCCTGTTAACGGTACTTCGTAAAAGGTAATTTCCCATGCGTGTCTTTTAATTGGAATCTTGGAAAGCGTATCACGGCATCCGGAGTAGTGATATTGCACTGGCGTTCAACTTTTCTCAAGAAATAGGGCTCAGCATCTTGTTAGTGGGGAAACTACTAGCATGATAAGGATTGACCTTCAGGCAATGCACAGCACTAAGATTTATTCGGTGACCATGCCAAGCAGTGTCCTGTTAACGTACTTCGTAAAAGGTAATTTCCCATGCGTGTCTTTTAATTGGAATCTTGGAAAGCGTATCACGGCATCCGGAGTAGTGATATTGCACTGGCGTTCAACTTTTCTCAAGAAATAGGGCTCAGCATCTTGTTAGTGGGGAAACTACTAGCATGATAAGGATTGACCTTCAGGCAATGCACAGCACTAAGATTTATTCGGTGACCATGCCAAGCAGTGTGCTGTTTTCGCTATTCACTGAGATACCAAGTTATATATCCATATTCTCAATCGATTCGGTCAAGATAGTCTTTCTTATTGCAATGACAAGGAATGCAGTTAGATGTCTCTAGCAAATGTGGCGACGAATGAATTTTTCACAGTTACATATCAATACCGGATGAATGATGATAGCAAAAAAACAAGAAGTATCAGACTCAGGAGACGTCCTCCCGTAGACTTTCAGTGAACACTACTCATATCTAGCGCTCATTTCAATACCTGTGGTTGTTTAGACCGTTTTTGTGATAAACAATGGATTTATTGGCGTTGTGTCCGAACGGAATGAGCCACTTGAAGCCTGATGATAACTGAAGTAGAACACCAACGTTGGATATAGTTGCATGATAGCTTGAAAGAAATCGAGTGAATGAAAACAGAAATACTATGATTTTAACAGCGTAAATGACTCACTACATAATATGATACACTACACTGCATTATGTTTTATATTCTAAGAGTCCGGACCCATATAATGTCTCATGAATATCCTGTGGTTTGCGTTGCTGCAATTGCTTTGATTTATCCTTCTCCCTGGGTAAGGAGAGACCACTCCTCAGAACAAACGGGTTTTATTTGAACCTTTGAGATCGTGTCTGTAGTTATGACAACAAGCTTCGTTACAGGTTGAATTTGTTAAAGCTACGATCGCTCTCACAAAAGTCGAAAGGCCCTTGTAGTGTCGTCGTGGGGTAATCGGTTATTCCCTTTCCTTGTTGTGCGTGATTGTCGAAGCGTCGGCACGGCTAGTGCTTGTTCTCGAAGTCACGAAAGATAACGTCATAGTGTATCGTTCCCTTGAATGACACGCAGCATTGCGATTCCCCAAAAAACCGCATCTCACCAAAACAAGAACCTATCCCTGTCGCCAAAGTGTTACGTATCCGAACGAATACGATCAATGACTATACGCGACTTGAGAACGAACACACAAATCCTCAGCTGTTACGTGATTTCAGCCAATCCTGGCGCAGAGAGTAGAAAATTGGACCTTTGGAGTAGAGCTTTTATTGCCTCAACCGAAGGCAAAGTAGGGCGGGAGCATCGTCGAATATATATTTTATTTTGAGCGAAATAATGTGCAATATGGCGTAGAATGTGCGAAATTTAAAAGTTCAAATTTTTACAATATAAATTCGGCAATAATTTGACAAGTAAACCGGTTCGGGGTTACTGATATCCCCAACACCTCCCCTCAAAGGAAGAGTCAGTAATGGGCCTCTATGAGAACAGTCTGGAACGGGGCCGTTTGAAGTCGGCGGCGATTGGTTCATCTTTGGTGAAGGTTTGTGTCTTAGGCTGGTGCGTTCCGTGTCGTCTCTGGCTGCGTCGCATCAGACCTGATCGCCTGTGGTTCAAAAGTCTCGAGAATAGCGTCTGGTGCTGTGGTGTTTCCGGAAGATGGAGTGGACGAAGTTGATTCTGGTCTCGCGTTCAGGTGTCCTGGTCAACAGAGACGCTCCCGCGTTTCCGCAAGACGTACGCCTGAATGCAGGGGCGCATCTTAGCGGATACTGTCGCACAAAAGCATGTGCACCCACTTCAAATCGGAGTATCTTTGTCTTCCCTATCGGCCGGGGACGAGCTGTCAGTGCGAGAGAGATAGCCGAGCTGACAGTCCAGGATTTTCGGTCCACGAGTGCTTCAGCAGGTGATTTCCGGTCTTCCAAAGAGTCGTTCAGAATGGTCCGGTAGAACAGAATAAATCTATGGAGAACTTCGATGGATGGCCCATCCTCTCGAGATTTGAGCAGCACTCGCTTCAACGTATCGACGAAACGTTCTGCCTGACAGTTTGACTGCGAGTGGTACAGTGGCAAACGGACATGCGCGATGGCATTTCTCCGATAGAATGCTTGTAAGCAGCTGGAGCTGTACTGTGATCCACTATCCGACACTAAAGTTTCCGACGGGCCATGCTGGCTGAGAACAGCATGAGACAGCTGACACGGGACTCGCACGGTGTGATCGTTTGCGGGATAACCGGCATAGTTCCTGGCCATTTGAGGAAAGGGTTGACCAAGATGAGATATGTTACACCATCCATTGGACCAACGTAGTCGACGTGCACTCGGGACCGGGGTCATTGGGGTCGAGGCCAGGTAATAAGCTGCAAATATGGAGGATTTCTCGCGGCTTGTTGACAGTTCGAGTGGTCTCTGGCGTAGCTTGAGATGTCGCGATCCATGTGCGGCCAGTGACCATATAGGATTCGATCTCTAGAGCTGGATTGGATTGATGTGCTTCAGCTGTTCGAGAAACTCTTCAATACCGTTTGTAACGCAACAGCTGCAGGTGCCTGCAGTACATTCCCGGCAACACCACATCCTGACATTTCTGCGGTCGCTACAGTTACAATCAAACCGGAGACCAGTCGGAGCACACGCCACACAGCGGCTGTTCAGCTCTCCACACCCGATGCCGACAGCCGTCTCACTACGGTCTGTTTTGACGAATCCTACCGACAACCTGCAACATTGCACCTACAACTCTCACCCTTCAATCCATACACCCATGAGCATGCGGGACGTTCCACTGCTATCAGGAAAGTCACGAGGCAGAGAGTGGTAAAAGTGGTACGTGGAGGCCAGATGCTGATTCGGGGATATCGTGAGTGATGTTCACAGTAGACACCTGGTCGAGTACTATGTGGGGCCCACGGCACAAGTTAGATTCCAAGAGTGTGCGCGTCAGACAGCAGATTCTAGCTCCGCTATCTAACCACTCCGCAAGAAAAACAGCTGTGATGTGACTCCGATTTGTAGGGCACTGCCAGAAGCCACTGCACCAGAGCCTAGTTCAGCATGTTTTCTGTCCCAG